CCTTGTTCTCACAAAAATAAAGCCTAGCGGAAAAAATTGAATTATTACAAATTCGTAAGACTCACTGTGGTAACTTTCTTCCTCCTTGCAATGACTAGCTTCTTTAGTCTTCCTATGTGAATTACCAATACGAACTATAAAGTCTCCTCCTACATTAATAGAAGCTTTCATGTTACAACCGAAACCATCAGATGTCGAGGGCATGGCAGATTTATTCCGTTTGGGTATAACAACAGACGATTTTGGCTAGAAATAATATAGATAATATATAGTTGAACAAATAAGAAAGATGCAATAAATACGCGGCGAAAAGAATTTAACAAAATTAACTTATGCACTGATGACCTGCTTCACATTCTTGAAAAAACTCAAAAACTTGAAAAGTTTTGAAAAACAATCAGAATAACTGTTAAAAGTTACTTTCTTCCCCTCTTCCTCCAAAAGAGTTAACTCACGCTGTATTTCAAAAAGCCGCTGTTCCAAACGACGACAAGTCACATCAGGATCCTCTGCTAAAAAAATCATGTTTTCAACGATAAAAACATTATTTAAAGACCAGTACAAAAAACTAACACTCCTCTAGCATTTTCGGCTTCATGCGATTCGATTCAGGAAACTTATCAAACTGATCTTCAAGTTTCATTGGTTTCGGACTGTGTGAAAACCTACAGTCCGCACCGTACTGGCACTCGCCAAATCTAGCGAAGGTAAAACACATTTTCTTCGATCTTCTAAAACAATATATTACAGAAAGTTCCCGTTGCCTGACTAAATTTGTTCGAAGAAAAAGCCTAATTAGCAGTAAAACTATATAAAAAATATATTTTCAAAGTTAATTACGCAAACTGCCTCGCTAACTTACTGTATCTTCAAAAAAAATTCTACTAAGAACGATGTTGATAAATTAATAGAATCGGTATTACTGTTAAAAAACAATATTTCAATCGCAGGTTAACTGAAGAGCAATAAAAAACTTTAATAACTTTACTTTTAAAAAGCTAAGACTTCCTTAATGAGTGCTATTCAGAGTTAATAAAGTCGTGTAATTTATACTCTAAAGCAGTAAAGCCGCACTGTTTTGATTCTCCACCGAAAGTCTGCGCTACATTCGATGCCTGTTGATAAAAATCTAAATTTTGCAATAGAGCTCCTCTACTGTAATCGTCGCGGAACGTGCTAGAAGGATCATCATCTCTAAGTCGCCGCTTCTCAACAACGTAACGTCGGACTTCCTTACCTCGTGACGTCGAGGGCATATTATTATAAACTTGTCCATTATCTTGTGCCTTAAGCATTACAGTTTCCTTAATGAATAAATAGAAAAAATAAAACGCACCAAGTTTCTCTAAAAATTATGAAAAAACCTGCTTTCACATTATTAACAGTGCATAATCGAGGAACAACGATTAACTGTCACTAGCACTGCAAAACTACACTAAAGTCCTTTAAAATCTTAACAAATAGCTGCTTCGATAATTTTTTGCAAGACCGTTCGAACCCACTCCAATTTCTAACTACCGATACGAACAAATATTTAGTTAAGATCAGTGATCGTAACTTCAGTAATGTTTCACAAACAGTCCAACCAATATATATCACCAACCTTCAAATGACGGTCAACAAACTTCTTTTTTGGTACTGTTAACTGTACCTCATCGCATTCTTCAAAATCATTCAAATATTTTGCATATGCTGCCGGTGGACTTTGTGACTGTGACTGGTTCTTCATAGTAGCTACAACAGAATACAACAAATAAACCACTTGAAGGAACAGGTCACCAAATATAACAATAAATTTCTCCGTTTTAAACGGTACAAGAAATAAATCGATAAAACGATAAAGTTTAGCAGTTACAGTCCATGCAGATAATTTAGACCAGCTCTTAATATCTGATCGTTTTCAGCGTCTTATCCAACTATCAAACTTTTGTCATCATTTTCGCAGTATCATAATCCATCTTCAAAAAAGCAAAGCCAAAAAAGAATCATCCACAGCGTCATTAACGGGAATGAAAGTGGTCATTAATACTTCATTAAAGGATTTGAAAATTTTTCAACAAGTAAAAATGATCTGATGAAGATGTAATAACATCAACAGCACCACCATTAGCAGCAACAGCAAAGAGAGCAGCGGCATAAAAATAAAAAATTGACATAAATCATGCAAAGATCTGACGCGAATTGAACTGTTGCCAATTTTACAACACAAAACAGATGATAGCAAATACACAGCACCTTTTTTTGCGTAGGCATATCAAATGCACCGCCCTTCCCAACAACGGAAATCTTTTTGATTTCCTAATTCCAAACAATCCACGTTTCCGTCAGCGATATCTGTTTGCGCGTCTGATGCACGCCCACATGGTAAATTTGCTGTATTTGAACACTGTTTCCTTCACAGCACCGTTATAGCTCTTGTATCGTGTAATTACGATCTACCTCCACTGTACACTCCGTGCTTCTCAACTGCATACCTCCTACTGCCCATCGCTCCTTACAAAAATCTGTGTTCTTGTAGTTCAAGCAAATTAACATTAGTTACCAACATTTGCCGCTAGAATTAGACCCTCAAACAGTCCATCGACCCCCTCTCTCGATCCCACTCTCCCCCATTTTCTTTTAACGCGCCCATTAATTCATAAAGACTATTTGCATTATTTTGTAAACGCCTTATACACCTTGTTATAAATATCAGATTCCTTGACATTTACAAATAATAACCGCCCAACTGTAAAAACGGGAATAATATATGTGATGTTTCGTACAACAGAGAACAGAAACTGCCGAAATACTACTCGTACTGTCCAGTTAGCCGGCACAAAAAGGATGGGAAAACAGTTAACCCCTCACTCATCCCAACTTGACTAAGTGCAACATGCCAGATTCCTTTTCACGGGACTTCTCAAATTGAAAAAACAACAAAAAGACACTACCAACACAGAGTTAACAATCTATACGCCAAAAATCGAAAGCCACATTTGCCAACAAAACAGTATGTAAGGGAATGTTACCGTATTTATGATAAAGCAAAGGTTAGAGAAATTCTTTCATGTTCCAACTACTAGAAAGTCCTCATATAACGATTAAATTTTGCTGCAGGAGACACATGAAAATACTTTATTAATTAACATTCACAGTTGTCAAAGACATTGCATATAATTTGAAACATCTGAATCAAGTAGCTGCATTTTCTACCGAAGCGCCTGATTTACTACATAGGGGGATCGCATCTGTACTGGACTACGAAAGCTGTCAAACTTTTTATAAATGACCAAGTCAACAAACATATGTTTCACTTAATTTGTAATAGAAAACCTAAAGGATTTTCATGTATTTGAATCAGAAACTTGGCACTTAGGCTATAAATACTTTTTTTTGGAATTCAATTCTAATTTCAGAGGGTCCCAAGAGATTTCCGCATGACAGCCACACCGATACCAACTGTTGGTTTCACTATGCAGCAGGCTCCTAAACCTGTTTTCTAATTCTCGTTAGTCTCTCACAAGCTTTTTATTTTTGCTGTATGTAAAGTGCGTAGTAAGCTTAAAAAATGAAACAAAATGAAGTCTTGAAGTAAAAACTTTGATGTGACCAAAAATAACACGCTTACTTTATCGCCTTCTAAACTCCTTTCTACCGGAAAACACTGAGAATTTTGAGTTGGATTTTCCTCTTCTCTTCCTTCTTCACTGGCTTTTATGTTTTCGCCAGCTTGGCCATGTGCAGGAACTGACTGTATTTTTTCTTCCAAAATTTGGATGTCATCATCTGAATCGTAGTTAGGCAAATCAGGTGAAGATGATCTGTCCATCCGTAAAACCTTCTCCGGAAGTGGGACAGTATTTTTCAAAACATGCGCGAGTTTCTCACACATGCTGGCTGTCGGGAGGCCTCTAGCATTATCCAAATGTACATTCTTCGCCGATTTGGGGGGTACGTAAGGGAAGCATGATCTTATCTATAAAAAAAAGAGCAGTATTTCTTCTGCAGAAGTTTGCCCATGATGAATTCAGGTCCACAAACACCACATTCTGATATATAAATTCAAAGGGTAACAATTACCTGACTATGCAATGATGATGTAAAGTCTTGCCTCATCCTCTCAAAATGATTGCGTATCAAATCACCCTCTGGCGTCTGCGCATAAAATTCATCTTTATGCCGCATCTAGAAAAATAATATTGTCTTGTGCCTTTCGTAAGTACTTTACTGAAAAAAAGGGTATAAGAACCACTTTGGTACAACGATACCTAAAATCCAAATTTTGAATTGAAAACAAAATTAAGGTGCTCCTAAATGAATCATATTTTGAGATTTCAAATTAAACACAACAATGCAAGGCTGGAACTCCAAAATTTACTTAGGATTAATATGCTAACTTACTACGAGATGTTCTCTTAGACAATTAGTATCGCGAAACGACATCCCACATTCCTCTATTACACACGGATACAGTTTGTTAAAATGCTTTATCAACACATGCCTGCGCCTGCTCTTGTTAAGAACTTCTTTTCCACAGTGATTGCACTATAACCATGGACGGAGAAGGAAACAAAATGATGAAAATTACCAAAAATTTCGAAAAGTCTGAATTTCCTAAGGCCGTTTTCTCTTCCATATTTAAAAAATAAAACAGTGATACAGACTTCACCCCAACTATCGCGAAACAGTTACATACCGAAAAAAGACTTAATAACGCGACAGAGATATAAATTTTTTACTAAACAGCAAAACAAAGGCAAAGGAAAAAAAAGAAGTCAGCAACTTTCACTTTCCCCAACAATTACTTGGTAATCACTGCACACTAATGAATTCGGGAAGCAGAGCCGCATTTCCGCGCTCAAGATTTCTGATGAATCAACATCATCTCTGCTTGAACAGTGGTTTTCAAGAACATGAGTCCTTCTTATCACATAAGCTTCATCGATTTCCTTAAAAACACTTTCAAAAAATAATGAGATGCAATCGAATAAGAATTTCTTTAACTCTAAGCTATACATTTCCAGACTCTATTTCACACTTTAACAAACCTTAAAACCCCCCATATTTAGCTAGATAACAATTAATTTGAATCGTAAGTTCTGTCACCTGTTTTTTTTCTTCTCAAATCATGACTAATCAAACTGTTTTTAATTTTTCCATCTAAAACTATAATTTCCATATATGTCAACCTGACATGCAAATCGCCTGCTTCGAAAAATACAACAAAGATTTTCACGCCTCCTGAAAACTGCCACATGAAAACACTTCCCTGAAAATGCGAATGGCTTTACAAGTGGTTTCTACCCGCGAAAAAATTAATGCATAGTTCTGCATAGTTTCCCACAATGCTAAAAGAACAAGCAGTGACTATTTTGTAGTAAAATTTTTCAAGATAAAATTTATATAGAAAATGCTTTATCAGGCCTTCATTTACTTCTTTTGGAAGAAGATCCTGAATGATTAGTTGAACTCAAAAAGTAAAGCAGTTGTTTTGCCTTATCTAAATCAGCTAACCAAATGTAATCCTCTGTCTTCCTTTCATAAATATATCCATAAATTTCTAGTGAAAAGGTTATAAATAAGCATTTGGAACAAGCTGCAGATAATCTGCGCAGTACAATATTTCCACCAAAGAAAAAGCAGAAAAAAATGACAAAACTTATGACTCGACCCAGTAAAAAAATTCCTTAATGTATTTTGCATGAAAAAATAGATTTTTTTGAAACAATAGATAAAACGTAAAAGAAAATCATTCTTACCAGGCTACATTTTTTGCAAGTAACACGAGGTAGCGACAGTGAAGACTGCAGAGAGCTGTCCAATGCGGCAACGCCCTTTAACAAAAACTTTGAACTCAAGCCGGGTAAAAAATGATAATGAGTGAAAATGTACAAAAAAAGATAGCTGAGTGAAAGCAAGCTTAACAGTAATCGGTTTTGCAACAATCCTTTTAATCTTTCTTTTGCGATTCTTCAACGATGCTTCATCTTCTTTGCTGTCTTCTGCTAGGACATCTTCCTTCGTCCTTGAATTACTAGATGAATCATCGTGGTTAACACCCGCAAGTGTGCTTTCTTTCAAGGCACTTCCGAAATTTCCGTCCTTTTCAACCAAAGAAGAGCGAGAACTTTTTGAACTTAAGGTGTAAGAGACGACAGTCCCTGTCTGGTAACGGTCAAATGATGAAACATCCCTTCCACGCAGCTTTCTTTCATCCGCTGGTGACAGTTTACTTTCAACTACAGTTTCAAAACGACGTTCATCAGCGCTATAAGACAAAAATATTAGACGTTAAATTTTTCCAAATTTAAAAATACACCAGAACAGTTCCTATTCAAAAAAGTTTTCTTCTAATTCTGCAATTCTGTAACATTCACTAAATTCTGTTTGAGGAATGTTCGCCCCAGTGCCTTGAGGAAACAAATGCCAACAAACTATAATTAAGCAACCTCGTCAGAATTTCCATGCTTTCTTAAACTTTCTTCTCTTCCGGTTTTAAAAAGTACTCCTTTTTCTGGATATTAATCTCCGTAAACATTGTACAAAAACTTTTGCTTTCGATCCCATCTAACCCAACAAATGTTACTTCATTACAAGAGGTTCTTAGACTGCAACCCTCACCTGTATTTATAGTCAGTAAAAAGAAGTGAACTACCTTGCTAGCCGTGAGTAAGTTGCTTTATAGCAATCAGCAAGAATATTCGCCGAGATCGACTCTATATAATTATCGTAAACCTTCTAAAAAGCAGTTATTTACACAGACAGCAATTACGTATCGAAGTAATAAACATGCTTTACAGAGTCTTGTGATTACACCTGGACCAAAATTCTTTGCTTCAAAAGAAGTCATTAAAAAATAACTTACGGAAAGATTG